CACACACACACACACACACACACACACACACACACACACACACACACACACACACACACACACACACAAGTCTCTCTATCCTTGTGGGGACTTTCCATTGACTTCCATTGATTTTTTTGGAAATGTTATATCCTAACCCTGACCATTTACTCTAAAATGAACATCACAGGTACCGACCTGACCCTAAAACTAACCTAAACTCAATTCCCACCTTGGTCCTAAACCCAACACCCCCACCCAAAATCAGCTTCCGAAGTTGTGGGTACCAGGCTTTGGTCCCCACAAGGAGCATCCCCACGAGGCTGCATTTTCCTGAAAAATCGTCCCCACCAAGTAGCAAAAACAAGGGCGCGCACACACACACACACACACACAAGTTTGTTATTCTGCTTTCACTGATTTACCACTCATTTTTAAAGCCAAACCCTGACCCCTTACCCTAAACCTAGCCTAGTCCAAACCTGAACCCATGTATTTCCCCCGATGAAGACCAGGTTTTTCCCCCCGTAAGGAGTGGGTCCTCACAAGGTAACAAAAACACACACACACAYCAACATTTGATCAGCTTTGACTGATTGACTCATAAATTACCTACATGAACACTACTTGTTTCTGATTCTTGTTAGAATTTGTTCCAACAGCTGCATCTTTTGCTTATTTCAACCATTAAAATTATGTAAAACACAACACTGCTTTWTCTTTTCTCCTCAGAGAATACCTATTTAGAAATAACAAACATTAAGATCTGCATGCAAATAACTGAGTAACAGATGTGATTGTGACCTTTGCAAACAGGTAACGGGCTGCTCCACTGTCCGTTGAGTCTGCACTGTGCACGAGCATTTCCACTCAGGATGTAACCTTTATTGCAGGTGAAGTTGACTACATCATTCAGGTTGAACTCGCTGCCGTTGGTTCGCCCATTGGCTGGGTTTCCTGGGTGACCACAAGTGATGGCTAAGGAAGTCAAGAAATACAAGAAAAAAGGAATGAAAAGTTTGATATGTACGTTCAGCATTTGTATTTGCTTCCACCTGATATTTTGTATTTTTCAACAGCTTAAGATAAAGTATGGTAATAAAAAGGTAACAAGAAAACAAAGACAGTAAAGTAGCCATGCAAACATTGATCCCATGAGTACTTACGGACACAGACAGGTGTTATTCCAGACCACCGATGGTCCTGCTGACAGATTCTGACAGATGTGCCAATTAGTCTGTATCCCAACATGCACTGGTATACAACTGTGTCACGATAACTAGATCCATCTCCGCTAATGTGACCATTGACTATAGGATCTGGAGAGTCACAGTGACCAGCTGAAAGAGACAAAATAGCACATTAATATGGTCCAATGACTTTAAGTTTGCTCAGTGCTCCTCAAGGCATGATTGTAAGAATGGGTGTATAGTGAAGGTTCGCAGAGTCCTTCGCAGTTGTCAAACCCAAGTATCATTTAGGCTCACTGAATGAACCTTTAAGGAACTGTGAATGCAGCAAGATGGGACACAAAGCTCACAGTGGTAAAAACTTTTAGCAGAAAGAAAAACAGAAATCCTCTAACAACTATAACAATGTTGAATATTTGCATAATTCAAGGTATATCTCATTAAATCTGTAGATTGTATTTTAAACAGAAATGCAAAATAAAAAAATAAACTATTCATGAGATTATTTATGTATGGCAAAAAGGTCAAAGTTAATATATGCTGATACTTTACTGAAAGTACTCAGATTTTATCCTTGATACACATGCCTTTTCTGAAGTGTTTGATAAATCAAAYATTTTTCACTGCTGGTCAGATTGTTCATTTTTATGCCAAGATGACAGCATACAGATATCCACATATTATGGATACCCATTTTATAGTGCTTACCTAAACATCTTGTTTCTGCACCGCTCCACAGCCCATCCGCACCACATTCTCTAACATGCGACCCCACCAAAGTGTAGCCATGATTACACATAAAGATTGCAGTTGCTCCAAATGTAGTCAGTGTCCCAAGTTTGGTACCAAAGGGTGGGGAAGGAAGTTCTCCACAGGAGATCACTGCACAATAAAATTTAAATATTGTTAAAAAATGTATAGTTGATAATGTTWAAAATATTTATTGCATAACACTGTGATGTACCTACTATAATAATATCAGAAGCTAACATAAGAAAGCCTCTTTATTATTCAGTTTCTCTGAGCTGCTCCTATCCTTAGTTGGTCAGCATAAAGAATGAATTTAAAAAGCTAGCCAAATAAATCACAATTCTAATAAACCGGTTTGAAATACATAACATTTTACACTTATTCAAATGCACACATTTCATGTTATTTTTGAAATTTTAAATATAACATATGTTGCAATACAAAAAAATCCACATTGTAATTATGAAGCACACTGTTCTCTTATAAAATAAGCAGCACAGGCAAATTGCAGAGTATCATTGTCTTTTGTGAAAAAGCAGTCTTTGACTACCCCTGACAAGTACTCCACATTCAGGAAGTATGGGCTAGATTCTGCATGAAACAGTTGTCAACGTCCCAAGATAATCTGCAGTGGGTATTATCCTAAGGCGTTTGGAAACATATACAGTATACCCCAGATAACTCGWATAAAAGGAAGACTAGTGAAGTAAAAAAAAATGTATGCACATGTACATGGTAATACAACAAACATCTGTAACTTTCAGCATATCTTTGATTTTTAAAAGTATGAGGTTTGTACCATGTTTTTGTCATACAAAAAAAGAGCTCAGACCTAATTAAAACAACAAGCCACAAAACAGAGTAACTTACTCTATTTTTTTTCCATCTGCTGTGCTCATGGGTATATTATTTTTATATCTAATGCATGACAGGTTGTATAAGTAATTGCAGAGAATTTTTATTTACTGTTTTCCTTTTTGTGTCCCGTATGTTGCCTGCTTATACTGTTGGATCATTGAGTGTAATAAGGCATCTTTTTCATCTCTTGTTTTATAGGGTTACTCATCTGTAGCTACCATGAAAGTTAGGATTATTAAAAATGACACAAAAAAGAAAAAAAAAGATTATTGAATGAACAAAAAAGCATTTGGAGCATGTGGCTGTGTGTGTGTTTATGGAAATTAAACACATATGTAATGATGCAGCTCAAATACATTTTTAAAACCAAGCCACAAGACAAACTATGTGAATCAATTGTTGTTTTGGTGTTCATGCATGCAATAAAACTTACTCTTGCAAGTAGCTGGATCATCTGACCCCTCCCAGGTTCCATTGGCAAGACAGCGAAGAGTCCGATGCCCAACACTCAAATAGTACCCCGTTGAACACTCGAGCATCAATACAGACCCAAAGTCTCCCAGCCTACCAGAAAGTAGGTGGTAGGTCATATGATCTGACAAGGTACCTTCAATGTTGGGACAATGCACAGCTGTRAATAAAGGGTATTTTTAGTGAACATAAAGACACCAGTAGAAATAAATGAACAGCCCACTCATACACTGACAAGTCTCAGTTAAAAACACTTACGTAGGCATCTGGGGACTGAACCAGCATTACTCCAGTTTCCATCCTCCAAACAYACAGCAGTTGTTGGAACACTGGGGTCAAGATGGTAGCCATAGTTACACTGGTATGTAACTTGACTTCCAACTGTATAGTGGGGAGCATGGAAACTGCCATTGCCCGGTGACAAAGGTATTCCACATGAAATAGCTGCAGTATCATAAAGAGAGATTGTGGTTGAGAGAATTGTTAACTTTTTTTAGCATATATTTACAAAGAYGATTAAAAATTTATTGAAATTCTTACGCTGGCAAAAAGGTGGCGGTGCATCCCATTGGTAAAGCCCATTGGAATCAAGYCTACAAGTGCCATTGCTGGAGCCTACCAGGCGGTAACCGCGGTTGCAAAAGAACTGAAGTCTGCTACCTGGACGAAGTTTGGTCCGGTTGATCACACCACCATTCAGGAGAGGATCATTAATGCTACAGTAAGCAGCTGGAAACAGGAAGGAATGAGAACAAATGGAGGGAACAAATCGTGCACATTAGTTTCCAGAAAACTCAACTRATTACTCACTAATTAGTCACTGAGATGCATCAGATCAACTAATTACTAATCTAATACTAAACATAATTGTTTAGAGAGGCACTCCTGCTAATACTATAAAATATTTTGAGCAAGAGGCATTACAGCACATCTATGCACCCACTGACATTACAGTGCTGGTGAGTTAGGTCCATCTACAGTGATTCACAATCTGTGACGCAGAGAGCATAATAAAGTGACTATTCTGGAACCTCTCCAAGTAATAATATGGTTTGTTGTCCTCTCAGAACAAAGTGCATGACTGTTGGAGCATGGACAAAATTAAAAACAACACCATAGTCACCCAATCTTTTTTTTTTTACTTGAATGTGTTTTACTGTTACTCTTACAATTTCACTTCACTTTGACAGAATGGGTTTCCTAATGCAGCATGGAAAACATAATGAACTTGACATTTCCAAAAGTCTATCTTTTCTAGAACAATTTAATGTCTAACCTATACAAGTATACTACTTGTCCAGTTTTAAAATCAGTCTWTTACTATTTTATACTTCACTGTTCTACTTCAAACATCATTACTCTGCTGACCTATTTCCACCACATGAAGTGCCTGAACTAAACACAAGAGCATCAGAACTTGGCTGCTAACCAATGAAAGAAGATGGCCCAATTTGATGAATCACTTATGCACACTGTGTGGATGGCCAGKGCAATGAATGTTGTTCACATGGGGGGAGAATGGCACCAGAAAACTCAATGTGAAGGCAGCCAGCCACTCAAGTGAAATGGGGTGCTTTGGATGGTTTTCTGATGAAAAATTGTGGGTCTTGCTATATGTGGAAGATACTTTGATGTAAATTATTTACCTAAATTTTGTTACTGATCAAGTACACTTCTTTCTGGAAACAGTCACAAAACACTTTCAAGCCAGGCTTGAGATGCCTTCATCCTTGCTGTCATGTATTAATGAAAGAACCAAGCGGTTGAAATCAACCCACCACCGTTATGTGCAAAAAAAATCAGGTTGATTGACTGAATGTTCCCCATAAGCAATATAATGCAATTGTGGAACAATGTATAATCATCACTGCTTCATTTCAATGCATATTTCCTATAAGTGTCCTGAGTCTTTCCTGACACAAGTTGGCATTGATTGTGGTTTTACCACTCAGTGCTTATAGAACTCCATGGAGCACTTTTTTCAGGAATAAAGCATACTGTAGGTAGGCGACACACTTTGTGCACTGCACTTTAAATATGAGTGGGAAAAAAAAACGAAGTGTTTAAATAAATTCTACCCAATTCATACTTATTTACAGCCTGGTCAGAGGCACTATGGCCACAATAACAAAAACAAGTTTGGTTTATCAAAAAGACAAAAAGAAATAAAACAATGTCAAAGTATGGGAAAAAAACCATCAGAACATTTAAACAATATTAATTGATGGCACTATATTTTTACATTTAAGAGCAATAAAATCAAGGCTATTTCACAATCATCCAAATTACCTAGTCCTAGAGCATCAAAAATGCTTGAAAAAAAAGCAGCACATCATTACAGTTCAACCTCATCAGAACAAACTGTCAAAAAAGCATACAAAAGTGATCAGCATACACCAAACCATTAATAATGTATAGAAAGAGAACAAGCCCACCCATCATTTTCTGTTTTGTGTATAGCTATTGTAGTCAGTCTATTACAACACCATAGGGAACAGACAGTTCTATTACTTGAGGCCATTGAGCTGATATAACCTACAGAGTAAAATACATTATTTTTTTGTTTGTTTGTTTTTTTCCTTTTTTTTTTTTTTTTGCAAATAGAAAACTAAAAGACTGACCTTGTAACTGGCTCCTTTCAAGCTCAAACAGGATCAGTGTAAATGTAAATTGAATTTTTAAACTGAGACGAGTAGCCTTCCTAAACAAGCTCTCAAAACAACAACAAAGCAGTTTTAAACAGTACTGTATAGGTCAGTCAATATAACCCAAACGAACAAATTGAATCCACCGATGCAGGTTTTTTTATGTGTTCACAGCCTGATGCATTCAAAATGTGTTTTTGAAATGATCATTGCTCAGTCACCCATTGATGCATTATTCTAAAAAAAGGCTTTAGGGATCATTATTCATGTTAGTGGGGAAAAAAAAAATTAGTCAGCTTTTCAACAATGTGGAGTGCATAAATTTCCAGGCATTCTGTGGAAACGGAGATAGGGCAGAGGAGACAGTTGTCAATCACTCTGATGTGATAGAAACCTTTATCTTGAAAACTCACCTGACGTGCCTTCTTTGTGACATGAGAGTAACGCACAGTGACATTTCATTTTAATGAAGTCATTAAATCTATCATCCTAAGCACACAAAGAATGAAACTGACAGGCATAGAAATAWACTATTATCCAGAGCTATATGACAGGTTCTACATGCTGTCCTCTGGACTGAATACAGAGAAATGGTTCAAACATGATTGTATTGACTTTTCCAGACAGGAAAAAAGAAAGACGCATGAATKGTTATTGAATGTACCTGAGTAACGTATCTTGAATCCTCTCTTGTTTGTTGCATGGTCAGTGGACCACCGTAGATAGAGCTGATTTGTTTTAGATGTAAAATTCAGCTGAGACGAGTGGTTGCCACTCAGAGCAACAAGCAAAGGGCTTTGTCCTGAAGATCCTGGTGAAACAAAAGCACACATGATCAGATCTGAATAAACACATTCATGAACACAATTTAATATTTTTTTTGATATATCCCTTGTAGCAAAACTTAGTCATAAGGAAAAATCCAGCCAGTCTTTTATGCCTTTTTAAAATTCATTTTACAAGATGAAAAGAAAAACAAAAAGCTGACTCATAAGTRTTTTATTTTTTCTTTGACTCTCTCTTGTGTGTGATGGTGACTATTACCATCATACACGCCATCATTTCATTATGATACTTTCTATACATCTATTTCAAATTGTATTTCAGTTTTTGTAATATTACAACTGGTGCCAGAAACACACATTCACTTGCAAACTGACAGCAGATGACCAGTTTTATCTATTTTGTCATTCAGATTGTACAATTATAGGGGACATGTCATGCGAAATCCACTTTTTTAGCCATTAAATGCATTTTGTTACATACTTTGAGGAGTGCAACCAATATGAATTAGTCTCTCTCTCTATGCTGCATTTTCTGTTTGGGTTAAATATATTTTAATATGTTCAGTTTTCTATATTTTCTTCTACATTTTTCTGGAACTACTACTAAGCAACTGCAATTTCATCATCTTCATTCTACTCTGGCACTTGGTCAAACGCTGGCTCCAACATGTAAGGGTGGATGGACAAGTCTTTCCTTGCTGAGATTTTTTAATCAATTCGTAAATAAAACTTCTCTGTCATTAACCCTTCCATCAAACTAGATTGTACTGCTCTGAAAGCTGGAGGGGGGCGATGTGTGAAGCACCTTGTTTGGTTTTAAAGAGACAGCCTCAAAATGAGTTGATCTGAGACACACTTCAGAAAAGGGGTGAAAGAGGGGATTGTTGATTTACAATAAGGAGGAATTCAGACCAAAGTATTGCAGTCCCGCTATATATAGACCCCAACTAAATAATTTAAATGTGAAAAATGACACAAATCCAAATTTATTGGCTGGAAATAAATGGTGGCTTGGCTCTCAGAGATAGAGTGAGAAGCTCAGTCATCAGGGAGGGACTCGGAGTAGAGCTGTTGCTCCTCCATGTCAAGAGGAACCAGTTGAGGTGGCTCAGGCATCTGGTTAGGATACCTCCTGGACGCCTCTCTGGTGAGGTGTTCAGGGCATGTGCCACTGGGAGGAGGCCCAGAGGAAGACTCAGGACACATTGGAGCGACTATGTTTCTCAGCTGATCTGGGAATGCCTTGGGATTCCCACAGAGAAGCTGGTCCAAGTGGTGAGAGGGAAGTCTGTGTCTCTCTGTTTAGGCTGCTGCCCCCGAAAACTGACCCCGGATAAGCAGCATAAAATTGATGGATGGATGAAAAAAATGTTGACACATCAAACATGAAGTAAACTTGAGCGAAAGTTCTGGTTCTAACGCATCTAAATTATGTTAAGTATGAACAAAAAATAAAATAACATTTTTTTTACCATCAAAAATTTCCAGTTCATCAAACTGCTTCTCACTATGGAACAGCTCCACATAGATATTGATTGTGTAACCTGTTAAAAACAATTAGATTAGTCTGTGTTAATGGGTACCCCGAAATTTATAAATGCAAATAAACGTATATTAAGTTTCACTCAATACAGATGGATTAAAAAAACATTCACATGCTTTTAAATAAAGTTTAAACCACAATATTTATGTATAATAAAGAAAACTATGAACACTGCACATGTAAACACAGTGAAACACTGTACCTGGAATCATATGTAGCAGCCAAGAACATGTTTGACTGTTTGGATAGTTGCCAGGAAAGCCAGGACTTAGTATGACTCCTGATGACAAAAAACGCTCCTCATTGGCTGGGCACTGGGCTGCGAATAGAAAGAAAGAAAAAAAGATTAGTTTTTTTTTTTTTTTGCACAGAAGTGCTGGTACACTTTGTAATGCAACTGTAAATCAAAATTTGGAATAAGCCTTACCTTGACATTTTGGAGTAGGGGCTTCAAATAGTAAGTGGGAATTAAGTTTACACATCAGCTCTGCTTTTCCAACCAATGTAAACCCAGGTAAACAGCTGTACTTCACAATGTCACCTGAAAAAATACAATAAAAACATTTTAGATCATCACTATACATTTAAAAATATATATAGAACACTTTACAAAAAAACCAAAATAATCTTGCCAATTAATCTTTAAGCCAAACAAAAACATATTCTGACTTTTTAAAGTTTCAAGTTAGTGTTTTAGACACACACACACACACACACACACACACACACACACACACACACACACACACACACACACACACACATCAACATTTGATCAGCTTTGACTGATTGACTCATAAATTACCTACATGAACACTACTTGTTTCTGATTCTTGTTAGAATTTGTTCCAACAGCTGCATCTTTTGCTTATTTCAACCATTAAAATTATGTNGTTTTTTTATATTGTTGCGTCACTGTTCTGACAGGCTTGCCATTTTTAAAATCAGAAATCTATTGCTTGCCAATATATTTCTGCTGTGCATGTCAGAAAATTTCTCATGAGACTTACACTACCTCACAGCATGAGGAAGTACAGGACACAAAGCTTAAAAGACATTCAAAACAAACTAGAACATCCAGATTTGCCTTCAGCTTGCTCAGAGATTTGGTAACTGGATGCAGGATCAATGCCAAAGCAACTGTTTGCCCTTAGCTCTGTTCCACGTGCATGTGCCAGTGCTTCATATAGAAACTTCCATGAATTTTTATTTTTAAAAAGTTTTAGCTTATAAAAATGGTACAAGCATGCACTCTCAAAACTGGAAATAAACTGAAAAGTATGAGAAGAATGTAACACTTTCATGTGTAGGGTTTGCAAACTCCCTTTGTGTCGGTGTGGATTTCCTCCCAGTACTCCAGCTTCATCCCACAGACAAAAACCCAAAAATGAGTTCAACCTGTGACTCCTAATGAACTGTAGTTGGAAGAATGTGTGGCTGTTTCATCTGTCTTTTGACTGGGCTTATGAGAAACCAACAATGGGAACACTGTGTACTCAAACCATTAAAGTGACACAGCCTGTAATTCAAACTGCATAAATACAGGAACCAGTATTGTGAGGTGCTCCACTGATTGGGGGTTTGGCCAGGATGAAGGGCCTGTTGGTGCTGTTAGTAAGTAAAGCACAGTGTTCTGGACACCGATGTCTATACGCACACACAAGTACTCGCTATACAGCAAAGTATTCTAAAGATAAGTAAATAAGACCAACAGCTTTTATTCTTTCTGTTCCCTGTAGAACTTTTTGTACTTTACTGTCAATAGTGCAGGCTCTCTACTGACGGAGTTTTCAGCAGCTGCTTCTACTAGTAACTCATTCTTACTGCCTGTTTGCATGAATAAAATATAATCTCATCAGCAAGGCAGGTGTTCACTTTTGTCACGGAATGAGGTTTACATTTAAATTACACAACGGTTTGTAGCTCATTTCACACACAATCACTTACTTTAAAGTTTGCTCCCACTTTGCTTTTACAATCCTGTATAGTCACTTTAATGGTTCTCTGCTGGGCATAAGCAATAATCCTACATGTTAACTGAAGGCAGTCCTGAATTAAGTGGCAGAGTCAATCACTTCAGTCTATGAGCTCTAGTTTTTGGAAGAGTTATATCCTGACTGTTAATCTGGTGAAATGTACCCATCATCACACAGCTTCAGGATCTACATAGCTTCACACATCTCTAAACTGTCATTCATATAAAACTGTCTATGCCTCAGTTATTGTGTAAGGGCTTATCATAGTTGATTTCATAGGTCAGTTTGATGGACACCTGATGTCTTTCATTATTACAATTTAGATTATATAATTTTGTTACAATTTTGATTGGAATAAAATGCCTCTATAGTCTGATTCATTAAATCTTGGCCCAGAGAAGATTTTGTACTTTTCCACAATCAGTGAGTAGAGACGTTCCACTGAATTTTGTTCATCTTTGGGAGTTAATTATGCTTAAATTCAAAATTAAAAACAGAACAGGTTGGGTTTTTCTTAGCTGCCAGCCTAAATTAAAATAGACCCCCTGGTACCTGCAGCTACTGCAATGTCTGTGATAGACATATCAATTTCTCTGTACATGCAACGAAAAGTCAGAGGCCATGGAGAAATACAGCAGACAATGGTCAAGTCAACTCAAACTGCAACGTCTGGTACGGTTAGTACAGTGACTAGTTTAGATTATGTCAGTAACGCATTTTCTAACATCATAAAAAAACAGTAGAAAAATGACATTCTGACTGAGCTGAAAAGCTGATCATTTTGATTTTACTGCATACTGGTCTAAAAACGTATAAAATTGTACAACACAATGTGATAAAAATGTATTTACATTTTTTTTTAAATAAAAGCAGGCTCAGCCGAGTTCAGATTTGAACGGTCTTGTGATAAAAAATGTGGCAGTGATTGTGTGTTGTGTTGGATAGTTTCCATGTGTGTGTATGTGTGTATAACTAGCATAGTCATTGTAAGTAAAGCTTCATTACCTATAAGGAAATCTTCATCTTCATGGATCAGCTCTGCATTCTCCACAACAGGAGGAGCAGGACATCTTTTCAGACGGTAAGCTGGAGACACAAGGGAAATTACTTTAACTGTATGTAGTGACTTTTAGATTTCAAAACAACAAAAATAGTTTTCCCCTTTACACATATATCTCAGTATTTGTTAGCAAAACAAAGGGGAATATTGCAATATAGTTACAGATTTTACAGTTTTAGTTATTTAAATCTATGATATTTCACATCAGTGTCCGGAATGGTGAATGAATGTAGTGTAAAGTGCTTTGGGGTCCCCATGGGGCTTGATAAAGCTCTATATAAGTTCAGTCCATTTACCATATTTATACAGATTCAGTGTATATATAACATTACTTCACATATTTGTTTAAATGATATATGCAGCTTAATCAAAAATGTTGAAAATATTCTTTGAAGTTATTTGAAGAAAAAAAAAAAACATCAAAAGATCTAGGCAGTTCTTTAAAAGAAGTCATGCTTGTATTAAGGTGTTATTGGGAAAATGACTTTGACAAGAGATTATGTGTCCCAGCTGCAGCACAGTGTAAAAACTGGTTTCTGTTCACTGAAGCAGCATTAGAGCTTTATATTTATTATAACATTTTGAACTGAGGATGTGCCAGGTCTATGGATAAATATTACACACATGTACCCAAGACAGTTTGACACATAAAAGAATGAAAGTAAGTAAATACTATTACTACTACTAGAAGGACAGTGTAATATTTATTTTAGCTAAAAACAAAAGCAGAAGATTTTCACTTCTGCAATTTTAATAGGAAAACATACTTTTTACAATGCCTACATTAGAAGCAGGTGTACTGAAGTTTATTTAAGACAAAAAAATCTGTAAGGTATGCACTGAATAAAATATTGTGAAATGGATTAGTGAGTGATAATTTAATATTGTAACAAAACATAAAGACATGTCACAAAAGCTTCACCTTAAAGTGCAGCTTTCTTAATGATACATTAAGATAAAAAATCTTGTTAAGAGGAAGGCATGAGGAGAGTTCAGGTTGTTTATTTTATAATAGTAACAAGTAAAGAAGGCACTAAATAAAACAATACAACTAAAAGCTCCATGGTTTCTGGTTTAATTGAAAACAGAAAATGACATTAAATCAGTAACTATTGATGTAAATTAAGTTACCATGAAAATTGAGAATAAAGAACCCTCCGGTTGAGAAGTCAGAGTGAAATCGGATCAGGACCTGTGGGCTGGTACTGTACGCTGACTCTAATGCTGTGTTTCCACTGAAGACTCCCAGCTGAGGGCTTGAAGTATCAGCACCATCCCTAATGAAGGAGAACAAATAAATGAATAAAAAATATCACAGAATAATCATAAGTCTTCTAACATGGAACATAAAGAATACACTGTTAAACAGTGTCTTACACAATTATTTAATAGAACACAAAATGGCAAGTAAAGGACAACAAATATAACGTTCTAAAATATCCAGTACAATGAACAATAAGATAAGTGATAAGATAAGATATTCCTTTATTAATCCCACAGTGGGGAAATTTACATTGTTACAGCAGTATAAAAAAGCAAAACCAATTTGAAAAACTATATATACACAGTAAAATCAAGTGAATATAGAAATACTAAAAAACAGTATTATTCGAAATATAAATAAATAA